AAACCCCTACCCCCCCCCCAAACACGCGGAAACGCGGTTCGCGGACCCCGTTCATTCGCGTCCAACGCGCGTTTGAACGGGGATTGAACGCGAATTCAACGCGCGTTCAATTTTTCAACGCGAAACCCGCGTTGAATCGATTTTCGGACACACAGCATCCAGATGCATATGAAAATAGCACAGTGTAGCGCAGTGGAAGACTCAAAGATATGACCTGACCTGTCAGATACCCCCGCGACACCCCATCATACACCACACATGTGATAGAGGGAGGAGGGACCACATACATGGAAGAAAGGTCCCTCATTGAACACACACATGGGGGAGCTACCACGGATGAGAAGATGGGGGAGAGGCAAGACAAAGATGGTGAGGAGGGAGAAAACAAAGGTCGCGATAGCGAATTCCAAAAATAGTCTCCCAGCCGAATGTCAAATCAATGTCTGCCTCAAAATGTCAAATCAGATCCTGGGCTCCATGCCCAACCTCTGCCTGTAATCTCTCTCTCTCCCTCTCTGAAAGAAGGAGAAGAAGAAGAAGAAGAAGAAGAAGAAGAAGAAGAAGAAAGGAGGAAGGAGAGTTGGAGGGTGAGACGAAGAAGAAGAAGATGCCGTCCTCCTCGCTGTCTCACCTGCACGTAACTGCCGCCCTCTACTTACTGCCACCGGTCGCTCTCTCTCTCTCTGTGCAGGTCGCTGGCGAGAGGGCCAGCTATGGTGCCCAGGTAGGAGCTCCTTCCCTACCTACACCTCTACCTGTAGTGTACCGTGTTCGCACTGCTCCAGCAGTGTTTCGCCGAAGAAGTGAGCTACTCAAACTGTGTGTCTGCCCTGTCGTGGCCCAGCTATAAGTAGTGCTGGGCCTCCGGGGTGCCTCTGTGTGCCTCTGGTCCTAGTCCTCAAAGCGCCTGCCTGTGTCCCTACCAGACGTCCAGGCCCTCCCTGCTGATGCAGCAGGGGGTGTCCACTATCGAACGAAAGTGGACCTGGCCCCAACAGGGCCTCGGACCAGGCCAAAAATGTGGCCTTGTCCGAACAGACCAAACAGACCCAAGGTCCAAGGTCTGTTCGGACGTACTGAGCTGCAAGTGCGAAACGATGCCTGAATAGACAAAAATCGGACAGCAAATAAATAAATAAATAAATAATGAATGAATGAATGAATGCTGCCTCAAATCGAAACCTGTGGCCCTGAGGCCGGCCGTGGGCATCCAGGGCGCATTTCTGAAGTCATGCGGCCTGGGGGCACCCAGCGACCGTCGAGGCCCCAGAATGGGGCCCGTGTGCAGGCTCAGCATGTAACACCCCCCCCTCCTTATGAAGTCGAGCCCGGTCAAGGGATAAGCTGACGATCCGATGGTGGAACCTGGATGCGAGTACGACGTGGAGCCGAAGGTGCCGGCTTGCCTTGCTGTCTGCGTTCGTAATGTGCGAGGACATCGGGGGCTGTGGCCTGAAGTTCCGCACGGGTCAACCAACGGTCAGCCTTATGGCTGCAATAACAAAAGTGTACTAAGTACTCCGTCGGCTTGGTGCCATAGCGCCGCTGCAAAATGATGTCGCTAACTTCCTGAAAACCGTCCATGGAGGGTGGGTCTTGCAATTGTCGCCCGGGAAAGTCCTCGCGTTCCGCTGAAACGAAAAGAGCCAACTTTGAATAATGAAAGACTGGGTAGACGGGCAAGTGGGCGGGCACCTGAATGACAAATGATGATCCTTCAGGTGCGTCACCAGCGGGGGCTACAATGCACCAAGGGCCCATCCATTTTGGAAGGAGCTTGCGAGATATATCGTTTTCGAGGCTGAATTTCGTGGCGCAGACCCAAACAAGGTCGCCGGTGCAGAACAGACAAGGAAGACACTGACGATTGGCCTGATGGCTCATGTGTTGCTGCGTCTTCGACATCTGGTCGCGAGCCTTTGACAAAGAGCTCTTGCATCCGTCGAATGAAGATAAGGTGGCCGTCGCTCTCCGTCATCCGTGGGATGATCGTATCGAACGGCGATGTGACTGGCGAGCCATGCTCGAACTCGAAGGGCGACATCCTGATAGCCGGATGAATGGACGAGTTGTAAGCCAACTCGACGTCCAGCAGCTGCTCAATGCAATCCTTGTGGTCGGCACGGATGAGGGTGCGAAGAAGAACCTGTGCAGTTTGATGCGCCCCCTCGGTTTGGCCATCGGTTTGTGGGTGGCGAGCCGACCTTGGCTTGAGAGATGAGCCTCATCGTTTGATGAGAGCCAACCAAAAGTCGGACATGAGCCGAGTGTTGCGCTCCGAAGTCACCAGAATGCCATTTTTCGGTGTCGGGTGGAGGTGGTTTAAATGAATGAACAACAAGAGCATAGACCATGTTGTCCGCACATATATGCCCATTACTGCTTTCAGATCAGATGAAACCGCCAGTACCTCCGGGCCTCCTTTTCCCGGAGGGGATTTGCGCTGCGTGCTCAAAACAATAGAACTGGTGTAGGTGCGGATTTTTGTTTTTTGGCCTGGTGCCACCAGCCATTTCAGTCTTGTGGGCTGAGCCTGGTGCCACCAACCACTAGTACCTTTGCCGAGTGGGAGAATAGCAGGCCTCGGGCGGGCCTTCGACCTTTTAGGAGTGCGGAAATGAAACGATGGCCACCAATGGGATTTATCAATTGCAGCCGTTGATGGGCCCGGCTCAACTCTTCGGGAACTGCCCGTTTTCCCTAATTTCCCAACCACTGGCAAAGGTACTAGTGCTTTAACAGGCACAGCACGTTAACGGCCGCGTTGGAGGGAGGAAAATGGCTGGGAAATGAATTGGTAATTTTAATAATATTCGCACATCCGAGCGAAGTATGGCATAGACTTGCAATGCATACTTAGCTCCTGAATGCTACACATACGTAGCAAATCATCATATGGTTACGTATGCGTAGCATTCATGAGCTAAGGATTCCTGAGATTTGTTGTCACAGATCAGAGTGTACAGAAAACTTGAGAAAAGGGCATTCCATGGACGGAAAAGGATGTTGATGTTTGTATCTAATAATAATCCTGCAGCCCATCTACGCTGGTGGTGGTGATTTAAGAAAGGCCCATTGATGGATCAGTTTTTACAGATTGATCCATTTACAGAGTAACCAGCAACCTGCAGCTGTCATTCTTAGACCATACGTGAAACGGCTACTCTGACGCCTTAACCAGCAAGTCCATTCCTTGGTAGCGTGTGCCTACATGTCGGTCAAACACCGCAGAAATTGCAGATTGGGCCGGAGGTGTGATTCTTTTCAACCTATGGGATTTGTGAATTTGAAGGGTATATATATGGATTTTCCGAAGGTGTGATGTGTCACACAGAAAGCCAAAATGTCTCGCAGATGTGTCACAAGCCAAAATGTCTCGCAGATGTGTCACACAGAAAGCCAAAAATTCTCACAGATGTGTCACACAGAAAGCCAAACATTTACATATGTCGCACAGAAAAAACGAAAATGTCTGTGATTCTTTTCAACCATGGCATGGTGTAATTACTCACCACGTGGCGAACACATGTTCATTGTCCCCCAGAGGATTATAATATGTAGTGCCCTCAAATGGTCGCAATCCTTGCCCCCCCCCCACCGCCCACACACACAATTAATTTGTCCTTCATATGAACCACCTATTATTATTAAAGGGTCCAAACCGCAATTTCAGTGTCTTTCTCACATTTTCCACTTCTCAACCCTTAGCCGTCCCTCCTTTCGTATCAACTGTCGTTGCCCTCTCTAACCCTTCCTTGAGCATTCAGATAGAGGGCTTTGATATGTGTGACCAGCTCATGATAACACAAGTGGATAAGGAGGAAACGAGGCCTGTAAAGAGTCGGCCCCCTCGGTTATGGGTGTCCGATCTTGGCTGTTACAGCAAGAGTCTTCGGTCTCTAAACCCAAGACCCAAGATCTAGGGCGAGTTCTCATGTACCCTCATCCGTCCTTCATTTCAGACTGTAGATAGAGCAACCTGGCTGTTATTGCACATGAGAATGGTTCTTTCTCTACACCTGAC